ACCATAATTTACGTGGCGATGTAAGCATTGCTGTTGACAGGGGCTTAGTCAGAGTATCACAAATGAAGCAGCCAAACTGTTTAAGTAGCTATAGTCTTCAACAATCGTTCAGATAGGTAGCCTGTTAGCTAACTAGCTATGTTTGTCAAATCTATCGCTATATAGCGTTAGCTCCCCAGCCAGTTAGCATGGATTATGCAACGCATCGATTTTCAGTTAATCGTGCTGCACGTATAAGAATATAAGAATACGGAGACAGTTGATGTTGAGGGAGGAATTTGGAGCTTTACTTGCTGACTACAATTCACGTTCATCAATAAAGTGAGAACCAGACCCGTTATTAACCCAAATGTTCTTGAATGAATTGAAAAGTGTACTATCCAAGTAGTAATAGAAGATGTTTGTTGTTGTAATGATGACAGTAGCGCACACACAAGTAGTAGCCCTAACTGGTTAGCATTAGCTAACATTATTGTGATTAGGCTACTGTAATCTGAGACAAAATATTGGTCTGTCCCTTAGCATAATGACTGAAACGTAAGCTACCTCCGTAAAGATCTTCTTATACGTGCAGCACGGTTAACTGAAAATGGCTGCGTTGCATAATCGATAAATCCATAAGGCATGTGAGAGAGCCTAATATGCCACAAAGTAAGTACAATCATGAACTCTATCGTGCTGTGCGAGAGCGCTTTTTCTCAACACAAAAAATCGCATCGTGATGACGTAAGCGTGCTCGGGCCCGGAACGTTAAGTGCAGTGTGAGCGCAGGCCAGCGGGGGAGTGGAGAGGGGGGACAATCGTGCTTGGGCACGGTACAAGGCAATCGGGCCTAGTGTGAGTACACCCTTAAGCACACACACACATGCATACATGCTCACTCACACACGCTTACCCACACTTATACACACACACAGATTTACACGCCCATTTCCACACACACTCACATACACTCATTTTCACACACAGACATGTACACATACCCTTACCTGAGAAGCGCTGTGGTACGATGGAGTGACGCAGGATGTGATTGGACAGGGGAGTTTGGTCAGCAGGGATTTTACTCTGGCGTGTTAGTCTAACTGTGGCCAGTGGGGGGAGCTCTGACAGCCGAGGATAGTAGAAGGAATTGGCCGGGTGACTTGGATTCTGGGAGGTGATCTGGCCAGTGAGATGAAGGGAAGGAGGAGTGGGAGAGAGATCGAAGTGGAAGATTAATGAAAGATGGCGGTGATGCGTCATGGCAAAAACATGCAATGCCTGCAGTTATATGCTGGATTTGTGTGCATTTTACGTTAGTGTTTCATATTGTCAAAATATAATATGCCACTCTTTGGGGCCGTCAGCGTTGTATCATCTAGCTTTTGTGGGTATCAGTGCTTCTGGGGGGCACTTGTTAACAAAAGAAACAATAAGTTAATGAAAGAAGGCATATGTGTTGTAGTCTGGAAAGTCTAACCTTGGGTGTGGTATTAGTGTGTCATTGGTGGGTAAGAGCATGTAACAGAGTTAGTGATTGGTTGGTAAGAATATATTAGGGTGTCACTGATTAAAGAATGAGAGTGCATTAGGGAGTCATTGATTGGTGGGGGAGAGTGTATCAGGGGTTTTTATGGTGAGTGGTTTGTTGGGGTGAGCGTAGTTATGGTTGGGACAGGTATCCTCACCTGGGTGATGTTCTCGGGGGGGTTGGTGGGGTAGTCGGGTGAGGAGAAGGTGAAGCCGCTGTCTGTGCCCGCGTCAAAAGGTCGGAGGTCAAGGGTCACTTCCTGCCGCCACTGATCTCCCTCACACAGGTTCAAACCATCCACTCCCACAAACCAATCAGGGCTGGGAATCAGCTTTACCATCAGAGACAGCTATGGGCGCAGACAGACAGGTGATTCAGATATGCGTGTAGTCACGTCAACATATGGAAAACAGCCAAGCCAAGGAACATGCAGTCACACTCACACTGCACCCTAAAGCCCTGGTGGGGAAAACGCTGGAAGTACACAGGAAGCAGAGTTTCCTTCATGCATCCTATTTTTAAAAGAGGCTTGTGAAGTCATTAAATGCTCCTGAGTGTCTCTGTGGCTGTTTCCACCACCTTGATCCCAGCATGAGCCTAAAATCCTTGCTTAGTGGATGTTTCCAGCGTCTCTGTGACATCATGCAGGAAGCACAGATGAGTTAGTCCTGTCTGGGAGGAAGAGTACCACAGGAAGTGTCCTGTCTGCACCTGGGTGGCTCACAGAATTGGTGTTTTATCCCAATTTATGTGGCATGGAGCAGCCTGAGGTACAAATACAGACCCCGACAGGAGGCCAGAGTGTTGTAGGGAACTCGCCCACAATCCATCTCTTTCATTGCTGAGTGGCAAGGATAAAGTTTGGTGTGACAGAGGGTGTGGATTGCATTCACAAACTTTATGGGTAAGGGTGAACTCTAACCAAAAGCCCAATGCAGTCTGGGATAGTAGGTTGTCATACTGAAGACAGAAAACACTGAGGCCCAAAGCTCAGAAAGATGAAGCTATTTTATGGATCGGCAAAGGAGACACTGGAAGAGTCTGAGTCTGACCTCCGATCAGGGTACTGAGAAAGATACATAAGGAAGGCCAACCTCACAAATCAAGTGCTGCACCAGTGTTCATAGCTGACCATATCCTCCAACACAATCAGCTTCCATCTGTCTACTTTCTACCACCACCCCTCCCCTTACAGTACCCCTTTGAGGAGTTTGTTATAACTGAGTTATAACTTGGTAAGAACCACACCTTAAGTGGAGCCATTGAATTGCCTTCCGTGAGTTTGCTATTCTGAACTCCCTCTATACCCTGCCATCTCCCAGGTCCTAACAGGTCCATAGGAAGACCGTGGCATCAGGAAAGTACAAGAGCTGTGTGTGTGTGTGTGAGTTTGCATGGGTTGGCTTCACTCCCCTTTATAAATAGCCCCAAGGTCTCATTTGCTCCACCTCCCCAGTCCAAATATCCAAACATTCTTCCCCCAATTCCTCCCCCTCTGTAAAAACAGACCGGGGGCTCTGAGGTCACCATTTCACCCGCTTGAGTATGACTGCAGTGGCAAAGAAAAATAAAGTACAGACGTGTGTGTGCAATCAGATGCTCCTGCTGACAAGTGCTCACAGAGACAGGAGCAACATGAATGACAGCCAAAAAGTGCAACACGGCCTCAGACTGTCTGCTATTCTCTCATAATCTTGAGCTCAGTGCCAAAGAAGAGTGTGTAGCCATGTTCTGCTCAATTTGTCATTGTGCTCAGCTCTAGACCAGCAGGGATCTGCAGTGCGCAGTGTCGTCCAGCAGGGGGCGGTGCTGACCTGAGGGTTCCTGGGCTGCAGCAGCAACTCCGTGGAGCTGTGGCCGACGCCCGATGGGATGCCAGCGGTACGGTACATAGTGCCAACAGCCCGCCTCTTCCGCGCCTCACGAGCCTCCTTCACTAGATCCACAGTCACTCCGAGCTCTGCGAAGCTGCGCACGCCTGCGCTCGCTGGCGCCCCCTCCTGCCACAGCCGGTACTGCGTATTGTGGGTCACGGCTGCAGGCAGAGGGAGACATAGAGACATCAAACAGAGCTCACCCTCCCTTTCCACTGCACGACATCACTGCTGCAGTGGCTTCTTTCTTTCTTGCCTGCTTTTGCTCTAAGTTTGTATCAGTTTTCTGATTTTATCCCTGACCTTTAATCCCTGATCACAAGACCATTTCTGTCCACCTTAAAACCGAACAAGACATAAAGCAACATAGACATTTTGTTTAGCAAAAAACATTGAGATTCATATGTTTTATTTAGTTTCTTTTTTTAAAACAACAGCTCCTCCTACAATCGTTTGACACTCTTCCAAAGACTGACCAACTTCCACTAGGGAAATCTCCACATTGTTAGCTACACTGAAAATCCAGAAAAAAGACAGAGCACTGAGATTTAACTGTGCAGTATCTGCCCAGCACAGGAGATGACTGCAGGGTCAAAGGTAGGCATCTAACATTCAGAAGTAAACACTGTTGGCACGAATGTCTGTTCTCAGGGCCAAGAGTCACACACACACACACACACACACACATGCTGTACTGTAAAAGTGGAAACCTGTAGAGTTCCTGTTCATCATCTGGATGCAATTAAGCTGCAGACAAAATGACGGATGCTGGTTTTGTTACAGTCCTCATTACTGTACTCATTAGTACAGTACGCTGAACTGGGTTTCCCAGAAGGGCACTAGGATGGGGGAGAGAGAGTCGGGGGTTGGGGAGGGGCGGCAGGGGAGGGTATGGGACTGGGGGCTGAGTACAGTAAGAGTCACTGTAGGTGACCAAAAAACCTCATACCCTTCACAGATAAACCTGAAGACGAAGGGGCTACCTCAGATTTAGCAACACAGAAGTCTTCCTCATTCTCATAAACCCCTCCTCTCTTTACCTGTGTCTCTGGTCACATCAGAAAGGGGATATAGTGTTTAAGGAGCTTGAAACAGAAGATCACAAGTCTGATTTGCAGGCTGAGCACTATCCTTACACTTTTGAGACACGTACCTTGCTTTAATTGCTTCAGTAATATTCAGCAGTGTAAACAGATCATACCTAAAATGTGGACTGTGTAAATTTCGCTGGATAAGTGCCTCAACTAACCAAAGAAATAACTATATTAACAATAATAATGATGATAATAATGAGTCTTGCCTATGAGCTTGGACCACTGCGCAGGGGGGCGGTACACTGGGTACTGTTTGGGGAAGGTCTGGGGGCTCCAGTGTCCCGTGAACACCAGGATGTAAGAGGCGGGTCCTTGCGCCGAACACGTCCTCCCATTGGCCGCCTGTGCAGGGCCCGAGGAGCACACCGTGACCTTCAGCAACGCCAGCAGCAGCTGCCATTGCCAACCACGGGGCAGGAGCTCCGCTGACATCATCTGCTGGAGACAGAATAGAATGACATCATCAGCACTGGCGCCACTGTAACTCACAGGAATTCTCATCTCCTTTTACTCACTTTACCAAGGTAGATGGCCTAATGGACGGTGGTGTCTGACTTTGGATGAGAAGATTGAGGGTTTGAGTCCCTTCCTGGTTGTTGCAGATGCTGCAGTTTTCATACCTCCCTCTGACACATGATTAAAACCACAAGCCACAACAGGTGATGAGGAGTGTGATTTTCAAGGTAAAGAAAAATGCATGAGTCATGAAAAAAGTAGAGAATTAAAAAGACTGAAAGTGACTGCTTTTGCTTAGTCGGGTTTTCTGTTCTCACTTCTTTCAGTTCCTGCCCCGTTCACACAGAGGGGGAAGTAAGAGTGATTTTTATGGCACAGTAAAATACTCAGCTCCACATAACACTGTGCTCCCAAAGCCTGCATTGTTCTCTGCATCAATTCCCCCTCATCACCCAGTGATTTACTGCCCTATTTATAAGGCTACGAGAACCAAAGTAACATTAGCGCAGGAGCGGGTGGGGACAGGATATTTTGAGAGGGTGTGCAAGGCTGTGAACTGTGTTCAGAGATGGCAGGGCTGTCATCGGTGTCATGAGCACTTTCCAAACAGACCGATCGGTACGTTACGTTACGTTATTGTCATGCAACAGACACTCTTACCCAGAGCAGCTTATGATTTTTATCCATTTATACAGCTGGATAACAGCGCAGTAAGGTCAGATCAGTGAGGACAGACAGCAGACAGGAGGCTGGGTCCCGCAGTTTGAGCTGCTTTTTCACCCCCCTGAACGATCAGATGTCACTGCCCCAAAGGCACGAAGCTGCCCCTGGCAACCAGGCGCTTTTATTGCGGCCATGAAACTTCAGGGCAGTTAATGTCACCGAAAGTAGAGCGGCCAACAAATTCAGGCTTGGAGCAACGTGCGGGGAACGTCAGGCTGCAGACATTAATATTCCATTTTTTTTTGTCTGCTGACAAAAAGAAGGAAAAAATATGCATGGTTGTGATGCAATGTTGGGATTTACGGGCATGTTGGGACAGTAGCAGAACGTTAGCCTGTAAATAGACTTCAGGGACAAGACAGAGTGCTGATCAGCTGTTCAGGTGTTCACCAGCAGCCTCTTTAGAGCCTCCATTCCCTGGTCACCTCAACTCTCCCACCCCCTCATCTGCTCAGAGATGTACCTCAACACTCAGAAAACACCACTGTGCTTACACATAGGAAATGTAAGGGTTCAGTTCTGGCTTCTTTCTTTCTTTCTTTCCTCATGTCTGTCAGTCTCTGGCCAAAAGTGTCATCAACGAGCAGCCGCTAGTTTTTTCTAAAGCTAGAAATAAAAATATTCAAAAGCATTTTTTACCCCGTGGCTGCCAGTATAATAGTGCGAAACTTTTGAAAGCAGAGACACAGAACTGCTTACATTAACTACCGCCATACAAGAATATTCAAAGCCGCCAAACAACAAAAGCAGACAGAACTGATGAATGACAGGCAGAATACTTTGAAAAGTGGCTGGGAAGTAGCAGCATGCGTCTCACTGGGATACCGTAAACCAGAGGCACATGAGGGCAGAAGGGTGTACACACACACCACCTGCCTCTGCCGGGTGAGTATTCACCCAGAGGGTCCACATTACGCCACACCACCACACCACCTCAGTCTCCACCAGTCTGGCAAAGTTGACCCCATGCTGACACACACACACACACACACACACACACACACACACACACACACACACATTCTGGTCAGTGAGCTGTCAGAAAAAGCAACACCCCGATACAAAGCCAACTCCCCGCCTGAACCCTCTGCCCACCAAAGACAAGGTCATTTTCCCTTTCCCATCGAGGCTCGGTAAACAGAGGGAGCGTGGCTAAACGCCAGGGCGTGCGCCCGCAGGTACTCTGCAGCTTCCCTGCTGTGTAATTACACTGTCTCATTGCACCGCGTTGGGCTCCTTCCTGTAATCACAGCCTTGTGTGGCGTGATGGACACGCACTGGCAAAAAGACCAAAAAAAGTCTACATTTTTTTCATCGCACGCAAAGGCCTGGCCACATCAAAGCCAATTGAGGCTAGACAGATAAAGGTTTGGAAAGATAATAAAAGCAGCGACGTTCAGGTTCGCTGGTTGCTACACGTGCAACCACTCATGGGCTCACGCATGGGCATTCTTTACTTTGAGGTAATGTACAGTTTAAGCGCTGCAAAATTAGCATCCCTCTCCCCTTGTAAGGGGAGAAGAAGGGAAAAAGGAGTTTTGTGTAGGTTGAGCTGTGGTGGAGAGAGAGGGGGGCACCAGGTCTCCCCCCGGAGCCAGCGGAGCGGCCCTTACCTGGACTGAAGAAGAGGGAGAGAAGGGTGCGCGGAGCCACAGCTGCTCGGCAGTGATTTCTCACTCTGTCTTGGTCTCTCTTTCCACAATCTGTGTCTGTGCCTACAGGCTGAGCAGCTCTCCCTTACCCCGGTCTCTCACCTCTCTGCCTCTCTGTCTGCATCTGTCTCCTCTCTCTCTTTCTCCCCCCTCACTCTCCTCTCCTCCCTCTCTCTCTCTCCGTCCCCTCCTCTCTCCATATGTCTCTCTCTCTCCCTCTCTCTCTCTCTTCCCCCTTCTCCATGTGTGGGAAAGCAAAACTCTGCCCTCTCTTCCCCCTCTCTCTTTCTCTCACACACATGCACTGTTCTCTCAGCAACTCCCTAAACTCCTTGCTTCCTCAAAAGCCCAGGGGAGCAATCTTGAAATCTACACCCCGATTACTCTCAGCCCAGCAGAGACTGCACTGCTCACATTCCACCCCTTCCTCGTGTGTTCTCCTGGCTGCCTCTGTGCAGCAGCTGGTTGGTCAATTGATTGATTGACTTATTGATTGGCTTCCTGTAAGGTGACCGGAATAGAGCACTGGTGGTGGGAGGGGGCTTGTCAGTGATCACCTGAACCTGTACACTTAGGGCAGAGGGATGTCTTTCTACTGAGCGTGCCCAGGTTTCTCTTTTGGCTAATGAACTGTAAAGGATGAACAGGCAGGGGCCACTGTCCCACCACTGGGCAGATTACATTACATTATTGTCATTTAGCAGATGCTCTTATCCAGAGTGACTCACATAGTTTGCCATTTTCACACATTGTCCATTTATATAGCTGGATATATTTACTGAGGCAATTCTGGGTTAAGCACCTCACCCAAGGATACAGCAACAGTGCCCCAACAGGGAATTAAACCAGCAACCTTTCAGCTACAAGCCCCGCTCCTTACTACTATGCGACACTCCCACCCTATTGATCTAGAACTCTGCTGCAAGTGTGTCTGCCCTGGTGATGAATGTGTGCGTGTCACATCTGTGTGGACATCATCATTAATGCATGTAACCAAAAACCCCCGAACAATAACTGGGTCAAGTCATCAAAGGGAACTCAACTCTGAGGAAGACGTTATCCAATGCAAGAAGTATGCTTTAAGCCCCTGCAGGACTTATTCAATCCCATAAGACAATAAAAGAAAACAACTTCACTTTTTTCATTCTGAGTGCCCCTACATGGGGTCGTCCCATGCATAAGCACTCAGAGAAACAGGAAGCTATGTTTTGTTCACTTGATGGCCATGTGTTTTCTTGTTTGCCTGCACCTGCTGAAGCATGGAGACGTGCCCTCATTAAAGCACAAAGGTGCCATTAATGAAGTCAGTGGGAGGGCTCCGCCCACCCTGATCCCTTGTGCTTCTTCCTCTGTGTCCGTTTCCTCCATAGCTTCCACTCAAAAAGCAGGCTACAGGAAACGCATCATCAATCACAGTCCTTGTTAGGCGTTCACACTGCTGCAGGACAACACGGCATGGAGGACCCTCTGGGACTGTGTCTGCTACACACCTCCCCAAATGACACACTCCACTGAAACACTATCCCCCTCCCCCACCCCAACACCGACTCTCACACACCCCCACCCACACTGACATACTCCACTGACCTTCCTCCAACTACCTCAAACCTTGTTCTAGCCCCCTCACATGGCACCACTGACACACTGACATTCTCTCCTTCACATTGGCACTCTCATCCCCCTCCCCCTTCCCTGCCGCTGTGACCCACTTATCCCCTCCCCGCCCACTGCCACTCCCCCATGCCCCTCCTTCAGACACACTCCATTGCAACTCTCACCTCACATTCACCCCCCTTCCCCAATTACCCCCACACACACACACACCCACACACACACACACACACACACACACACACACACACATATATCCCACTGACAGTCCCATGTACCAAAGTGTACCAAATCACAATTGCATGGCTTTAAAAGTGATACCTTTGTCTTTCTCCCACACTGATGGATATAGTCAGTAATGGATAGAGTCAACACTTTCGCATGTTTCTTTTCCCTCGGTTTGTTTTCCATCTCACAGTTTTCCAGGAATTTCTCTCAACCACCCCAGGAAAAGGTGGTTAAAATTCCTGGAAAGCAGCGGGATGGAAAAAAAACCGAAGAATAGAAACATGTGAAAGTGCTGACTATATCCATTAGCGACTAGATACATCAGTTCACATACATACGTCCAAAGACTCTGGCTATAAGCAAGTGAATGTACATCATTGCATCTGCAATGTGTGCTTGTCAGTGTGTGCTCCAGCTGAATATTGAAGGTGTCTGTGGTATTTGGTGTTCATGTGGGTGTTTCACAATGTATTCCTGCAGCTCATACATAAAATCTCAATCCTCATGTTGTTAATCAGACTCTAGCAGGAAGACCCTGCCACACCTGCACGGTGTTCCGACCAGAGATTTTCTTTTTTCCCCTCATGGAAATAGCTCACGAGGAAACAGAATTCTTCCGGTAGTATGTGACCCCCCTCAGAGGGTCGCATTTTATGGAGCAATGTAAAGATGTTGCATAATACCCTTTCAAAAATGTGGCCCCCCCAGCCACACGCCCCTCCAACCCTGTCAGCAGCAGGCTTCCATTCCCATACCCCCCAACACACACATACCCCCAGGCCTAACGAGGGAGCCCTTTGCCCTTGCAAAAACACAGCTATTTTCACAGGCTAGACTTACAGCTGAGGGGTCTTCAGGTGTCACCTATTTGTCGGAAAGATTTATGTGGCGGAGGACGTGTTTTTGCTGAGGCCCCTCCCCCTTCC